CTTGGCAGTCAGGTAATAAAGAGATCAGGGGAAAATGTGCCTTCAAAATTTGCTTTCTAGAACTGCTTCCATCTCCCACTAGAAGAGATTTGTAGAAAAACTACAAACTGGAAGCTAGCTCATAGCACATACATCTTCCAAGCCACCGCGAACCCTCTTGCCAGCCAGCTTCAGGCCCTGCCTCCTTCAATGCGGGCCAGGGTGCTGCCTGGAGAGCCAGGGTGGTTCGCCCCCAACAGATGCAATGTTTTCATCTGGAGAATTCAGCCAGCCCCAGACAGGTATCACTAACACTCCCAGGACGGACGCTCAGCCAGCCCATCACTAGGGGTCAATGAGGACTGGGCTCTTAAAGGGGTCAGAGGCACACCCATCAGGCAGGTGTGAACACACATCTCAGAACACCGTGCAGGAAGGGGGCAGGCCCTGATCTATGAAGGCAATTGAAGTCTTGGATCAGTTCAGAGACACCCTGCATTGGGCCAGAACTCTCCTAGCATTGCTTGGCTAAGCAGTGCCTGGTGCATCAGCATATTTATTAATCCACATACAGGGGCACAGAAATGTCACTGAAACACAGCTGATAGAGAGTAAGGGCCCTTGGGCTCTTGGTCTGCTTTGGGTTTTAATTCCGCCATCAGACCTGTGGATCACAAACTGTGGGCACTTTGGCCGCCCACCTGCCAGATGTGGCCCGTCCTCCCTACCCCTTACCCCCCATTTACTATCCGACACTGCTAGAGTGCCCCAAAATGGTCTGATTTGTGTTTATTCTGCTCTTGTCATTTGCTCCTCACAATAAAGCCTGCCTCAGCCACAGGGAACCAGTACTCCCTGTCTCAGGGAGGACATTCTGTGGACAACCAGCAAGGCTGGGGCAGACAGTGGGACTCTGGTTTCCACTGGGGTCATCACTCGTACTTCGCACAGATATTGTCATACTTCCCAAATGGCAGGCACACAGGGGTCGTGACTTCTACAGTGACCTTGTACTGGCGGTCACAGATTTTTCTTTCAATAAGAAAGAAATTTTCTTTAAATCATTCCTTTAAATTTACTACATGTAATATTCGAACCAGTTAAATATTTAAATGTATACTTACATATTTAAATACTTATATACATATATGTACACACACACACACACATATACACATAAATATACACACACACCCCAAATTTAATTATTCAGATATAAGGCTTGCATCCATCCCTCCAGGGTCGGACGTGCCCCCGTCAGGACACTGGGCCTAGAGCAGACTGAATGGAACACAGCATCCCAGCCCCCTCCCCAACCACCAACCAGCGGTTTCTTGGTGGGAAGGCGTGACTCTAAGCCTTTGTCCTCTATCATCCAGCTGGGGAGACAGTCTCACTGCAGAGGTTTGTTGCAAATCTCGACTGAGAACGTTTGTGCGCGCGAAGGCTTTGTGGACCAGAAGTTACTAAGTAAAATTTAAGTGACACAAAGCCTTGCTAAGGGTCAGATGAGATACAAAGGCAAAAAAAAAAAATGCTTTGAAAAGACAGCAGTCAGGATTTAAATCTTGAAATGACACATTCTTTCTGGAGGATGAGAGAGCCTGAGGTGGTGAGGGGTAGGACGCCTTCCCTAAGAATTAGGTCTGGGCCTGCCAAGGGCATCTCTTGTGGCTCTCCTGAGCCCACAGTAGACACAGGGACACTCTGCTGGGTGCCAGGCCCAAGGGCCATTCAAGTCAAAGACTGAGGCGGGCAGACTGTCACCCTCCCCTCCACCTGACTGCTGAAAAGTCAGTGATGCGGCAGAAACTTACCACCTCTCTAGAAAGGACACTCTCCCCTACTCCCCTTGGAAGAGCCCAAGGGGCATGATCCAAAGACTGTGTGGGGATGGGGTGGGTGAGAACTCTCTGTACTTTGCTATGAATCTAAAACTGCTCTAAAAAACAAAGTTTATTAAAAAAAAAAAAAAAAAAAAGACTTCCTGGCACTAATTCCAAGGGGGTTTTTAGCGGCCCTGCCCTATATGGTCTAGAAAAAAAGGGGAGAGAGAAGTCCTAAGGATGCCTACAAACATATCAGCAGTGAAGCCTTTTAAGGCAGAGGTTCTAGAGATCTGTAGGCATCAGACTTCTTGGAGCAACATTCTGAAAAGCTCGGAAATTTCAAATAAAGTCAAATAAATATAGCACTCTGTAGATCTTAAACAAGGCTGGATGAGAGGATTAAATCATGTACCCAGGAAAAGGTTTGCACAGAGAAACTGCAAAGCAGTTCTAAAAATACCCTGTGATTATCCACCACCACCGTTTTCGGGGGGAGAACAGGGAGGGGATCAAAGCCCAGTGCCAAGCCGATCTCGCTGGGCTAACTGCTGAGCACGGTGCACACCAACCAGACCCACAGCCCCCTCTGGCAGGCGGACAGCACCGCTCTGGTGGCTTCTGTCGCCCGGCTGATCATTAGGCATCAAACAGGAGGAGGACAGAGAGAAAACAACTTCCAAAACGGCATTCTCACTTGTAAACCTCTTTCCTGCTTACGCGTTTATAATTTTGAGTGGGACTCAGTGGGGCAGAACTCGGCAGCCATGCTGGTGGGTATCAAGAAAGAAAACACGAGACAGGTGCGTTAGCCTGTTCCACCTGCCGTAACAAAATAGCACCCACCGCGGGGCTTACACAACAGAAATCTAAGTTCTCACAGTTCTGAAGGCTGGGGGTCCGAGACTAAAGTGCTAGCAGGTTGGTGTCTCCTGAGGCCTCTCTCCAGGGCGTGCACACAGCTGCCTTCTGGCTGGGTCCTCACGTGGCCTTTCATGCCCCTCCCTGGTATCTCTTCTTCTTCTAAGGACACCAGTTGTACTGGATTAGGGCCCTGCCCTTAAGACCTCATTTAACCTTAACTACCTCTGTAGAGAGGCTATGTCCAAATACAGTCACACTGGGGGGGTCAACAGATGATGGGGGCAGGGGGGCAATTTAGTCCATAACAGCATACCTGACACATTATACCTGGCATCCTCTCAACTAAGGCAAGGCCCACGTCCAACATTGGAGTTGGTGGCAGCTGCCAGTAAGAGATCAAGGACCAGAGGTCGTAAAACAACTCTCACCTTTCTGCTTGCGGGAGGCGCAGTGCCCTCACACGGAGGCAGAGAACGCGCACCCCCTCGCTCCCCTCCCCATAACTGACCTGCTGGGGTGGGGATGCAGATGGGGGGAGCCTGTGGTCGAGCACATACCAGATGGAAAAGTGACCAGTTCAAGGTCACAACTTCGGACACCACCAGAGCCAGGACACCCCAACCCCATACTGTAAACTCCCGGCCCCAAGCTTCTCCCTCACTCCACAGCTGCTCCCTTTATCTTTACAGCCTCCAGGTCAGGCCTGTACGTGCTCTGAATGCAACATTTAAAATCCATTTTTGACAAAAAGACCCAGAATAAACTAGAGCCAGATGAGGGCTCTATGCAGAGAAAGCTGATAAAATTTCTTTTCACGCAGAATTAAAGTCAAACTCAAATATTTAGCTTATACCTGTATAATTAAAAAACATGTGAAGGTGGCAAGAGCATAGACATCTGTCTTTTTTGTTCCTCTCTTCCTCATTTATTGCTCTCCTTTGCATTTTGATAAGATTTTCTAGTGCAACCTTTAATTACTTTATCTACACAATTTCAGTGAGACAGGGAAATATTCCTCCTATGTAGTTCCCGCCCCTTTTCCTTCTTGTTCAATTGTTGTTACACGTATCATTATCTATATCTATATATTAGAAACCCAAAAATATATTGGCACTATTTCTTTATATAACTTCGCATTTTTAAAGTAGCTGAGGGGCACCAGGGTGGCTCAGTTAGGTGTCCAACTCTTGATTTCCGCTCAGGTCATGATCTCAGGGTTGTGGGATGGAGCCTGACATTGGGCTCTGTGCTCAGTGGGGAGCTGCTTGGGATTCTCTCTTCCTCTCTCTGCCCCTTCCCCAATGCCATTCGAATGCATGCACTCTTTCTCTCTCAAAAATAAAATAAAATAAAAAATCTTTAAAGAAGCTGACAGAAGGAAAGCAAGTATATGTTCACAGAGTCTGTTATATTAACCTTCTTATTTAGTATTTCTGGTTCTCTTCCTTTTATCCTGTGGATTTAAGTTACCTAACGCAGTGTAATTTCCATACTCCAAGAAAGCTTTGCTCCCATTTGCCTCCTTTATGCTATTATTGCCAAATACATTACTTCTCTAAATGTGAGAGTCCCAACAATATAATTGTACACCTATCATTTAATAAAATTGTTTTTTAAATCAGTTAAAAGAAGAAAGGGGGGGAAATACACAATACTGTCTCTTATAATCATATAATAACCAAAACCGGCACTCTTGGTCTTCTTGTATGGATCTGAATAATCGTCTGCAGTCATCTGCTGTCACTAAGAACTTCCTTTAAATGTCCTGTAAAGCAGGCTTGCTGACAGCAAATTCTTTTTTGTTTTTGTTTTAATTTCAGACCATCCTTCACCTTCACTACTGAGAGGGAGTTTTGCTGGATATAAGGTCCTTGGTTGGTGCGTTTTTTTCCTTTCAGGACTTTGAATATGCCATCCCACTCTCTTCTCTATCCCACCCCCATTGTTTCTAGGAGAGGTCCACTGTTAATCTTACTGGAATTCTCTGGTGCACTTGCAGTCGTTTTTCTCTTGCTGCTTTCAAGATTTTCTCTTTCACCCTCTTTTACTACAACGTGCTCGGATGTGGACTTCTTTGTATTTATGCTACTGGAGTTTCCTATGTTTCTTAAATGTGTAGATTGTTTTTCATCAAATTTGGAAAGTTTTCAGACATTATTTCTTCTCATACGTTTTTCTGTTCCTTTCTCCTCACCTGCTGGTACTTGCATCATATGTATCTTGGCATGTTTAATGATATCCCAAATTTCTCTGAAGCTCTGTTTGTTTTCTTCATTCGCCACCCCCCCCCCACCACCATCATTTGAAATCCATAATCTCAGGGTGCCTGGGTGGCTCAGTCGGTTAAGCATATGACTCTTGGTTTCAGCTCAGGTTGTGATCTCAGGGTTGTGGGATCAAGCCCCATGTTAGTGGAGAGTCTGCTTGAAGATTCTCTCCCTCTGCCCCTCCCCCCATTCATGCTCGCTAGCTCTCTCAAAACTCAAATAAATAAATCTTTTTTAAAAAAATGAAATGCATAATCTCTACCACTCTATCTTCAAGTTTATTAATGCTATCTTCTACTGGTGAACATCTAGTGCTGTGGCCCTCTAGGGAATTCTTCATACCAGTTATTTTACTGTTCAACTCCAGAATGTCCATTTGGTTCGGTTGTTGTTGTTGTTTTTAAGTAGGCTCCATGCCCAACATAGGGCTTGAACTCACGACCCTGAGATCAAGAGTCAGATGAAAGACACCCCAACCATTTGGTTCATTTTTATATTTTCTAGCTCTTTACTGATTTATTCTCTAACTGGTCAGAAGATGTCATCATCTCGGTCTTTACTTCTTTAAGCATGTTGCTTTAGTTCTTTGAATGTATTTATCATTGCTTATCCTGGCTGCATTGAAGTCTTGGTCTGTTACCCCCAATATCTCAGCCCTCTCCCGCAGAGTTTCTGTCCCTTTTCCAAAATCCCGTCTCACGTTCCTATTTCTTTGCATGTCTTATCCTTTGTTCTTGAAAGCTGGACCTTTTAACTATGCTATAGCAGCTCTGAGTGCTGATCTTCTCCCCTCCCCCCCCCAGGGGCTTGTTTTTGTTTGTTTATTCTTCCAGTGGGTTGGCTGGACTAGTTGAGCGAAGTCTGTCCCTGCCCCGCACTCCCCTGCAGAGTGCAGCCTACAGTGGTATTTCTCAGGGCTCACAGTCTCCCTGGGAGGACAATGGTTTTATCAGGGCTCTCTTCTTTCCCTGGTCTCTTTTAGGCTGCCTACCTCTGATGTTATCACACCCAGCGGTTAGGCTCCATGAACTGCTGGTTGGTTGTGCTACTGTTTACGACAATGTTCTGGGGCATCGATTGCCGCACAGGCTGATCCAATTAAATGCAGGCCTTTTTGAAGGGGTAACTTTTGATGTCAGTGTTTGAGGTCTGTTCTGAACCCAGGAAGGTTCTTCCTAGCTGTCTCTTTCCCTGGTTGTCTCTAGCCCAAAGTTTCAACAGTTGCTCTCAGGGAGCTGCCAGCTTCTTGTTACTTACCACCAAAATCTCCTTGTTTTTGACGGCACTTTGTTATTAATAAATACAGTACCTTTGAGGAGAGCCTCAGAGCTTTCTGTTCTTATGGCCTGCCTCTTCCCTCCTTTCTGAGCCACTGCCCTGGAACTGGGGTCCACTTCTCTCAGAGTGACACACCCATTTTATGAACAGAGTGCTGGGTGGGGGCAGCAGCCTTTGATCTTCTAGGCTTGATTCTTCTGGAATTGAGCCTCTGCCCTACAAGCAAACTGGGATGACAGAGGGCAATTGGGGCCTCAGGATTCTCAGCTTGGTAAAGAGCAGCCACCACTCTGTGAGTTAGAGGCTGGCTATACTTTCCTGGAATTCAGCCTCTGCACCATGGAGCTCGAGGGGAATGAGAAATGCTGGCAGCCTGCCCCTCCCAGGGAGATACTGTAGCCCTTGATGGAAACCCAAGGGAGAAGGAGTCACACATCTTCTTGGCCACATCCAGCCAAGACTATAGCCTCTGCCATGCTGAGCTGGGCAGGAGAAAGTGGGCCACAGCTCAAGTGCTACAAACCCTTGCTGTTATTACTGAGATTTAGTAGGTTTTCCTGAATAAATATCTCTTCATTTGCTGTATGCCTTGAGGGCAATTTCCAGATATTTTAACTGATTGTTCTCTTAAAACAATTCTCATCAGTGATTGTTGTTTTGCTGAGGAGGTCTACAGAACCCCTAACACTACCATTCCAGAAGTGGATCCTGATAAAACTTATATTTAATTTCTATCAAAGAACAAAACACTATGTACAAGTTCCTTTTAGTCTATTAATAGTCCATGTTAGGGAAGCCGGCAACAGCCAGCAGAATATGAATTTTACACACTAAGAGGAAACGTCCCCCAGGAGGAAGTGGAGCCATCCCTTAAAAATACATTGTTTTTGTTAATAATAACAGTCACCCACATGTATATCCTGACTAGCAAGTCATTTGTAAAATGTGAGGAAATGTTACCATGCATGGCAGGTGGGTGATCACAAATCAGATCATCAGGAGGTCAGAGTAAGCAAATGAGCCACACACATCCCTTAAAAATAAATACCCCTTTTGTGTAGAGGGGGTTACTCTACACATAAGAGGCTCATTTCATTCTGGGCCCCACTCAGCTGAGAAGGCCAAAAGCTGAGAAGGCCAATCAACACCTGAGAGAAATGTGGTACTCATCTCTCCCAAAAAACAACTATAGCTTGGGATAACCAGGCATGGGAGAAAAGAATGTTGCCAGCACATTCTTGGGAGTCACCAAGTGTTGCCCATTCCCCTAGCAGATGGCATTCTCAGAATACAAATTGACGAGAGGGCTAGGAACGTGACAAGCCATGCAGTAGCGAGAACTGGACCAGACCCTGGAACCCGTCCAGCCCCAGACTCCTCATCTACAAAATGGAGATCCTCAATCACGTACAACGCCCAAAGTCAGTACTTAGCAAACCCATTACTCTGGACAAGGTTCCTCAATAGGCTCTGCTTCCCCTATGGGTCCCTCCAGATAGCAAACTGATGCCAGAAGGTCCAAAGGCTGTCCTTCTGTAGAGGCCCCATGGGCACCCTTTCCAGAGTCGGCCCATGCCTTGACCTCCCCCAGGACCTGACTGTGCTCACCTTCATGAAGCTATCAAAGGAATCATCCCTGAAGGGTACCCTGATAGCACAGGAATCCAGATCCCTGCCCTCACACCTCTCTGAGCTTTCTTCCCAGCCAACTGAGGCAGGACAGATTCTAGGCATGAGATGGGAACCAGTGATAAAGGACATAATGTCCTGGCCCCCAGAGACAGCATATCAACAGGGCCTGCCCCTTCAGACAGTAAGAGAGATGTTCCAGTAGGGAAATCTCTAGCAGCTGTTTCTGGCCAGTGAGATACCAGTTGGGTGACAACTTTTAAAAAGCAAACCACGCTAGAAGAAAACGTTATAAAATGCATTATACTCTTCCCTGACTGTAAGGGCTATTCTGAACAAGAGAGCCACAACACAGATCCAATCCTGTCCCCTCCCTGGGGCCCCTTTCCCATCCACAGGATGAAGATAAAGAGGAACACAAGTGAGTAAGTGACGGTACCTAAAGCTGCCTTCTATCAGGGTGCAGCCTCATCCCTGTGTCAGACGCTCCTGGCTTGCCGCTCTTTTTCTGTTGTTACATCTACCCATTATGACAGCTTTCCTCTTTACCTGCAATCAGATTATCAGCTTTCAATGTTCTTGTCAACTGAAGTATACTGCTTCTCGCGGCTCCCCATCCCCCGGACGGGGGGCTGGGCTTGGAAACCAAACCATCCCAATGAGAGCATGTGTGAATGCTTTAAAGAGAACATCCAGGGCGCCTGGGTGGCTCAGTCGGTTAAGCGTCTGCCTTCGGCTCAGGTTGTGATCCCAGCGTCCTGGGATCGAGCCCCGCATCGGGCTCCCTGCTCCGTAGGAAGCCTGCTTCTCCCTCTCTCACTCCCCCTGCTTGTGTTCCTTTCTCTGGCTGTGTCTCTCTCTGTCAAATACATAAATAAAATCTCTAAAAAAAAAAAAGAGAACATCCACTAGATGAGGGCCACAGGAGCTCACAGGCACCTGGTTTACCTTCTGCTCCCCAGACCTCGCCCTGCCCTGGGTCCAGGGTAGTTGCTCGTGAAACCCTCTTGCCTTACATGTTACGGGGCTGCCAGGTCAGAGAGCAGCACGCTTGGAAGGCAGTTGCTGAAAAGAGACTTTACCCCAAACTTTAAAAAAAAAAAAAAAATCCACCATCTGACTATGTTACTACCCATAACGTGAAAATCTTCTGGAGGTGCACAAAGCTCACCTCCCACTCCCTTTTGGAAATACAATTTGTTTCTGATTAACTGGGTCTCAGCTGCAATTAGATACACATGGAACTTATTGTTCCTACTATTGTCTGTCTGGCACAGTTTGGGTTTTGATTTTTTTTTTCTCCATCACTGTAAAGAAATGCAACTTCATTTTATTTTTCCCCACTGTAATTTTCTTTAATTATGAAGTTAGCATTAAATGCTTCTTTGGAAGGCGTTTTATTTTGCTCTAAGAAGAAAGGGTCCACATGTTGTAAAACAATAATTTTGTAAAACAAACAAACCCTCCATGATCTGTTGTGAAACCCAAAGGACCAAATATTTCACCTCAATGTGTTATCTGACCAGACCTGTGGCAGGCACAACCTGTCCACCCCTCACCTAAGCTGTCCCCACTGACAGGGGCCTCTAGATTGCCACCTCATCTGCTGGGAGGCCGTGTGTCACAGGCTAGTGGCAATTCTAGGGCAAGGAAAAGTATAGTCCTAGTTTCAAACAGAATGAGAAGAAGGAAGGCATCCCCACAAGGACAACAAAGGGTCAGGACCAAACAAGACCACAAATACGTCTGGAAATACCTCATATTTAACCACTGAGTGTCAGAATCCCTTGCCTGTAACCCCAAGGGCTCTCTCCACGTCTAACCATAATACCATAGGTGCAGGGACTTGGGGTACCTCTGCGAGGCCCAGCTGAGAAGACCACTGCAGGATGGGCACAGCCCCTCTCACATGGGTGTCTGCATCTTCACATGGGGCTCCATTCTCCAGAGCCAGACACCGTCTCTCCAACCATCTTCTCTCTTTTTAGAGATTCCTGTGTGATGAGCAGCAGGATCAGAAAAATGAAACCAGCAGAAAACCCCAGCCCTCAAGAGGACATTGTTGATGTTCTGGGGCCGTCAGAGTGCCACTCCTTGTTCCTCCAGCTCCACCTCTAGTCTCCCTGCACCGTAGCAGATAGCATCACCATGCCAAATATAGGGAGTCTTCCTTGCCTCCTCTATGAGCCCCTCCCTCCCCCACATCCAATCCATCAACAAGTCCTGGTGACACACCCAGAACCAGAGCCCTGCTCGCTGTCTCCCAAGCTCCCACCTTAGTCCCAAACACCACACCTACAGAGGTCACAAGGAGTTCTGGGTAAACTCCATTGCCCTGGGCCTTTCTGGATGGTTCACATCACTCCACAAGCACATGGATCCTACGAAGATATTAACTCCAAATGGAAGGAGTGGAAAAGGCAGTCCGAATTTGGCAGCTGCATAGAGAGAGGATGTAAAAACCCTACACAAAATACCATGTCATCCAACGACAAAAACTCAAATAGTCAAAGATGCCCTCACCATCTCCCTTCTGGAAATAAGTCATGTGCCCAAAGTTATAGGGAGGGGACGCACATTCCTGTGCATCCTCTCAGCCTCAGGAAGGGAGGCGCCCCCCCCCTTTTCTTTCTCTGCCAAGAAGAAAACCTTAGGGCCAAATTTCCCTCAGAGTGAGAAAGGAGTCGGGCACCTCAGGATTGCAGCACAGTGGTCCAGAATCACCAAGATAAAAGACACTAAACCACTTGGTACTGAGGGTGCCAACGGATGGTGTGTAAATGACAGCTCCCATTTGGGGCTTCAGTGAGCCAGTGCCCATCAGAGTCATTCAGCATGACAGGACCCTTTGCCAGCACCAAGGACAACCACAAAGACAGGGACGGGTTGCAGACCAGGCCTGGTCCTCAGCGCATGCCTCCACTCTCCCGCACAAAGTCATCCAACAGATGATGCCTGAATCTCTCTTCTTTGGCCCTAAGGACTCTTTTGAGGCCCAATGCAGCATTTTCAAGTAAACTAGCCACCAGCTGTGGACTCGTGGCACCTACTGAAGTGAGAGGACATATTCTCCTCAGAATTGGCTTCTCCTGGATTCTTTCCCTTTGGGACACCACTGTGCTTAGGAGCTCAGGTAGATCTGACACCTCTTTCCAACCATCAACCAAACTGGTCAGTCACTCAGTTCTGCCCCCTCTTCCTTTGAGGTTTCCCGGCTGTCATCACCCTCTTCTCTAATAATACCACTGGCACCCACACAGGGCTAAGGCAACAGGCTCAGAACTGGCTTCCCAGTGAGGCTGAGAGCCAAAACTACATGTGCACACTCACACACATGCACATACATGCATTCACTTAAAGGCACACTCACACACATGCACATGCATGCATTCACTTAAAGGCACACACACACACACACACACACACACACATGCACATGCATGCACTCACTTAAAAAAGGCAGGGGCCCGGAGTCTAGGTTGAGGTGCAAGGCTTCCTTCCAGTGCCCTGCACTTGTAGCTTTCACATCAAGATCCCACAGCACTCCCCACCACACTCAGATGCAGGAGCTGGCTCCAACCCCATCCCCTAGACATCTCCCTGAACCCCAGCCTCAAGCAACCCTCCCTCCAAGGAGCTCTGGCTCTGCTTCCTGTTTACACAGCTCATCCTGTATCTAAAACTTCTCTTCCACTGGGTTCTTTTCTCAGGTTAGACTTCACTGCTTTTGATCAAGAGCCACTACAAGACTCAGGGAACAGGAATCATTCATTCAGGAAACAGCATAAGCCAGCAAGAGAGTATGTGACTTCAGAGTCAGAGTGAAAGCCTATGCGCAGAGATATGACCACGATAGAGACAATTTCAGAAAGGGAACTCAGAATGAGGTGTGTATCAGTTTACAATTATAAGATGGTGTCTGTAGAACCCAAGAAGGAGACAGAGCTGGTCAATGGAAGAAAGATTTTCAGTTATTCCTTGCTAGTATTGCCACTTACATGTTTTGCTTTTGTTGCTCAGTTGAGTACACAGGAACTGAAATTACAATACTTTTGGCCACTCAGTGGCCAGCTCTAGTTTCTAATACCATTCTCCAATAAAAGGGATGAGGGCTCTTTGGAGAAATGGCTGATTCTAGGGCTGGGACAGGAAATGTACAAGATGAGTCTGGAGCATCTTGCGGTGCCGAAAAAGAAAGGTGTGCTAAAACAACAACAAACAAACCAGTAAAAAGGCCCATGATAGTGGGAGTATGTCAAAGGGTCCCAGGAGCCAACAAAAGAGCTTCCAATGGCCAAAGCTGGAACAATGTGAGCCACAAAGTAAATAACCTAATACCGAATTATAATCCAAAGTATAAAATAAATATCCGTAAGTCCACTCTAATGTAAATGAATGACTAGATAAATAAATGGAGAAGAGACAAATCTCACATACTGAAGAATTCCAAATAATTCATGTAAATGCCCCTGTTCCTTCGAAGAGGTAAAGCCCCTCACCCCTTACCTGTGGACTGCACAGGGCAACTCCCTTACGCAGAGAACATTACAGGGGAGTAGGGGGAAGGGTACCTTTACAGAGGAGAAACCTGATAAACCTCACCTCAGGCAACTGCTCAAGGTCAGCATCCACACGATGTCATGGTGACAGTGTGTGCCCTGCTGTGATGTGACCAGAAAGGCATTTCATCTCTGTGCTCCTTCTCTCCAAAACCCATATCCCCAGTAAAACGTGAGAAAAACATCAGACAAACCCAAAATGAGGGCGGGTTCTAAATACTATTCAGTACTCTTCAACACTGTGAAGGTCAACAAAAGCAAGGGAAGTCAGAGATTCTCACAAGAAGAAGATCCTCAGGAAATAAGACGAGTAAGTGTAATGCGGTGTCCCAGATAGGATCTGGGGATGGGAAAAGGACATTAGGTTAAAAAACTAAGGAAATCTAAGGAAAGCATGGAGTTTAGTTAATAATAATGTATCAACTAATGTATCATTTGTGACTAACGTACCACAATAATGTAAGATATTAACAACAACGGAAACTATATTTTTTCCCATATTGGGGAAAAGGGGGGGGCAGACTTAGAGGAACTCTGCACTATTTTTGCAACTTTTCTGTAAATCTAAAACTACTCTGAAATTGAAAAGTTTACTTAAAAAAATAATCTTAGCTCTAATCAACAACCCTGCTCCTCCCCCACCCGTTTCTCTTAAACAGGAATGGTAACCTATACTTGATCTCCCCACAGCACTTAACTACCTCTGGCCTCCTTAGGAGCCAGTCTTCCAGTCTCCCACACACCTCCTGCCATTGGCTGAGGTCCCTGGTGCCACAGCTCCAGGTCAAGGCACGCATTCTGCTCACGTGACAGCTCCCGCCAGGCCGAGGCCATCAGAAGTAGAACAATCAGACTTTGGGAAGCAGCTGCCTTGCCCTTCATGTAACCCAGCCTTCTAAGAACTGACTCCTATTCCCAGACTCCTCTGACGTAACTTGTCTGCAGGAATCCAGCCCATGATCTGAAATCTCTGTCGTCTGGGCCCGATTCACCCACCCCAAGCTGCAGGGCCTCTGGGCAACCCTAGGGTGCTCCTGCCTGGCCTAACCCAGGTCTCCCTCCTTCCGGTTCCCCTAATAATCCACTGGTTTCCACCTGTTTAGGCCATCAAGATGCACCACTGCTTGGGGGAAAGGGGTCCACAGACTGATGAAAAAGTGGGAGGGGTTCCTCTTTCCAAAGGCTTAATTAAGAGCAAGGAAAGGTGCAGGACAGGAAGAGAGCGAGGAGAGAGAAGATGAGAGGACAGGGAAGCACCGTGCCGGGTGGGGAGGGCCATCTTTCACACTTGCCAGACTTTCGGCACCCCAGGAGAGTTCACAGCACCTCTGCTGCTCCACGGTGTCACCAGGATGCATGGGACTCTTAGATCGTCTTGTAAGAGCACCAGCAGTGCATGTGCATTTCCATAAACTTGGCCCGATTCATCAACGCGAGTCCAGGACACTACATAAGTCAGCCAACGTCAGTACACTTCCCCATGACCACACCCAGAAAAAGACCAGAAAAAGCTAGAAACTGAGCCTTCTGTTGGAGGGAGGAATCAGGGAACAGAAACCGGTTCCCAGAGGCCCCAGAAAGCAGCACAGTGCACTGCGTGGGGCTGCGGCCCATCTCCCACTGCAGGTGGCGTACATGGTCCTGTTTCTAATTCAACTCTCTCATCAGGAGGCATCCCTCCCCTTATCTGAGTGAGCAGTAACTCTTTCAATGAAACTTAAATAATTTTTATGAAGAAGACGGAATTTAGGTGGTTAGCGAATGGCCTGTTGTAGTACTATGAGACAAGGTGTTCCTGAAAAATTTCTATTTTCTCAGTTACAGACTTCCCTCAAGGAAAGAATAAGCCACAAGGACAATAAAACTCTGAATTAACCCATTCAAAGGATGATGAATGAAGAAAGTTCTCAAAAGCCTCCTTTGAAAATTAACCTACTTTCAAATTAATAAGATGCTTATACCCTGAAATCAACAAAATAAAGGAACCTGCAGCTGGGTTCCCATCACCGGAAGAGCAGAAGCAGGGCTCCCTACAGGTAGGGGGACAACTGGACACACACCAGCTGCCCGGCAGCCTGGTCCTGCCAGGCCCCCACCCTGGGGGCTTTCACGGAACCTGACCCTGCAGTCAGCCAAGGACCAGGACCGCAAGCACAGGAACTTGAAAAAGAAGAATTACCATAATCCCCTAACTGCAAGTTTGGAAAATAAAGGAGGAAAGAAAGCCCCACTCATAATTACACCTTTACTGAAGTTAGCTCCTTATTTTTTTTTGAGAAGATCAGTGTGTACAAAAGATACCGTATCCTGCGTTTTCATTGCATGTGTTAGATTGTAAACATATGTCATGCTTTTGCCAGGCCGCAGGATGATGATATTTTAAAGTCTGCCTCAACACCTTCATCGACCCGTAGTTTTTTTTGTTTTGTTTTGTTTTGTTTTTTAAAGATTCATTTATTTCAGAGACAGAAGGAGATGGCGCACCAGCAGGGGGAATGGGAGAGGGAGAAGCAGGCTCCCCACCGAGGAGGGAGCCCAGTGCGGCGCTCGATCCCAGGACCCTGGGACCATGACCCGAGCTAAAGGCAAACACCTAACGACTGAGCCACCCAGGCAACCCCCTGGACCCGTAATTTTTAACTCAATCTGAAATATGTCTTACAAAGGAGATACCATGTGGCTCTTTCTTCAGCTCTTACGCAGCCACGGGCGGGCGGGGCTGGCAAAGCTACAAAGACCCTGTGTGATCGTGGCAGTGGTCAGGACAGTCCTCCCTGGCGCAAAGTCTACGGGTGTTCGTGGCATGCGCTCACACGCCTCCCTGCACAAAGCAGATGCATAGCGGAGCGCCAGTGCGCTGGCCACTGGATGTGTGTGTTGGGAGGGGTGGGCTCCGTCTGCTGGCGGAGCCCAGCCCCCGTGAGGTCAGAGGACTGGCGTCCCTGCTATCTGGCAGGGTCTCACAGAAAGACGCTCAGTGCAGCACTACTTCTGCCAGTAACATATTTTATGCGATAAATTGCAAGGTTTAATAGCAGCCTAAATGCCTGTTAGGGACACAGGAAATTACGGTTCCGTGGTATGGTGAAATACTACGCAGAATTTGAAATGGAAATCACGGAGTTTATAACAACTGACAAGTGAAAAAGTAAAATTCTAAGATCTACCAATATAAATACGCAGAAGTACAGATACACGCAAAGTGGGAGACACGAGAAGAAAATAGATTAAAATGTTAACTCTGGTAGTGGTGGTACCATGATTTTCTTGTTTATCTACTGGACCATGTTTTTTCTAAACTCTTTACAATAAGCATGCAAAATTTTACTAACTGTACCCACATGAGGTTGTTTGATATCTCCATACCGTGGGGGCGCCTGGTCCCTTGAGCATCCGACTCTTGGTTTCAGCTCAGGTCTGATCTCGGGGTCGTGAGATCAAGCCCCTCATCAGGCTCTTTGCTCAGTGTGCAGTCTGCTTGAGTTTCTCTCTCTCTCTTCCTCTGTCCCTCCCCTCTGCACGCTCTCTCTCTCACTGAAACAAATTTAAATACACACACACACACACACACACACACACACACACACACACACACACATCCATACATCCATACATCCACGCTGTGTTTTGGGTCTTCTTGCTGTACCCTTCCCACCCTGCTTCTGGAGCTAATTCGTCTCTCCTCCTCCCTCCAGACTCTGCTGGAAGAGCAATACCTCACCCCTCCCCCAAACTCACACAGTGCTCTGCACACATCCCCTCCTTCACCCTAGTCACATGAAGTGTGTCACACCTCAGACTCTCAGCTCTTAGGGCAGGGACTGGGGCCTGGCCATCCCCAGACCACAGGGCCAAGGGACATAAAGCTCCAGTGGGCCTGGCACACAGGCAATAAGAGGGAGCCAAGAACAGGCTACCCAGCAGAAGGGAAGGTGGAGATTCAGAAGGCTGGGGTCCAGGGATGGGCACCCCGAGGGCAGCTGCAGGAATAACCACAGGGCAGGAAGCAGAAGGCCACAGGTCGGGTCACACTAGACATCCCTGCAGCCATGAGAGCTGTAAGGATGGAACAGGAATCCAGAGGCAAGTGCTGAGTCCTCTCTGGAGATCAGGGTAACCTAGAGTGACAGAGGGCGGTGACGGGAAGTAGAGAGGACAGCAGAGTCATGGGTCAAGTCCACTTCTGGAAGGAGATGGAGGATGAGCAGAGCAAGAACGTCCACTACATTTTAAGGCCTCTAGCTCTCTAGGGAGAAGAAGCCATATTTCAGTTTATGGGAGGAGGCAAAGGGGCATCTATGAAGCAGGGAGTGGGGTGGGGAGCAAGAGCTTCTTTATGCAAAAGGAAAGGCTCCCAGCAGAGACTGGAAAGGAAGACTCTGCTGAACATAAACACAGTCCATCTGATGGAACAGGCCATTTGTTCACCAAACCCCGGACAGCTGCACCAGAGTGTGTCCCTGTCCCACCCTCCCTTGGAGCAGAGCAGCCGACAGGAAGCAGGGACAGGCCCGGGACAGAGAGCTGGTCTGGGCTTCCATCTTTAGGGCAGGGCTCACGAGCCATGTTAGTGACGAGGTGTTTAAAGCAGAGACCATGGGGATGTTCAGTGGCACACAGAACCTGCCCGAATGAAGCCGACCCTACAGCAAGGGTGGACACAAGACCAGCCAGTACTCTGCAGCGGGAACCAGGACAGGCCCACACCCGCCCCAGCAGGCTCACACAACCGCCTGGCAGGCGGGAAGAGGAGGGGGAGGGAGCGCAGTCCAGTAGGACTTGGCCCCACCCTGAACTTGACCACTCCCTCCCCACCTGGGGCAGCCCCAGATTTCAAGAAACAACTGTTTCTGACCACAGGCGTCTCAAGACTGAAACTGAAAATTAATAAGCAGTGCTTGCTTCCCATCCCACAGCAACAAAAATCTGTGAAGACTGAGTCACAAATACAAAGGTTTACGTGGGTAAATAGAGTACAGTGCAAATTGAGGATGGTGGGAACCTCAGGGAGAGGGTGCAGGCACAGCTGTGTTGGGAATTAAAAGGTCAAGCTGAAGACATTCCTTGTATTATTCTTCCTATGGTTTTTCATATAAAGTATCACCTAACAAAAGTTTTTATGAAAATGAAGTAGATCCAAAATCCCTAACTGTATTATATTTTCACATATCTTTTTACTTTTCAAAAAAGCAAGGTAGGTGTACTAAAAATTTTAAAGATGAGATCAGAATTCTTTTAAATGAGAGGCTATGCACCTATCACTTTAGATCAGATCCCTGGATGTCAACCACACTTGCCCACTGTCAGTGTGGACTTGCTGGATGCTGGCATCCAACCCCCGTGACAGGCCCGCTGGGAGACACCTCCATTCAGGCAGAAAGGACGAGTGGAGGACGAGCCACCTCACAGCTGCCCACAGCCTGCCCCTTTCCACCTTGCAGGGGAGCCGTTAGACCTGTCTAGAAGTGCCCACCTTCCATTTTTAACCCTCACCAGCCTGCCCTCCTTGTGGGGCCCTTACAGCCTGGACCAGGCACTTGGTATCCACCGGGGCCCAACTGTGACCTGCACCAATAAGGTAAACCACGCCTGGCCAAGATGGTCCCTGAGTGGCAATTTAACCTGCCATTCCTCGGGTGGGGTGCTGATTTTACCCAGACCTCCGAGGTCTTAACCCCCAGAATGTGATACTGCAGGAGTTGCAGGCACAAAGCAGGGGAAAAAAGGGACCAGAAGCCAGGGTCCTCACATTGCCTGCTGTGCCGCTTTCTTTACCGCTGCTTCTGCTTCTTGAAACTTTTCCAGCTTTTAAAGCACAGTGTTGAGCTAATAAGCCAGCAAAAGAGATCACACAGCACACCTCCGATGTGGTAGACTCAAAATAAAGGGGACCAGAAGGGCAAAAGTGCTGTTGCTGCCACCTTTCACTAAAGAACAGAAAGCCTGGGGGTGCCTGGGCGGCTCAGTCAGTGAAGCGTCCGACTCCTGATCTCAACTCAGGTCATGATCTCAGGGTTGCAGGTTCGGCCCTGCACTGGGTGGGCTCTGTGCAGGGCGTGGAGCCTACCTAGAACACAACACAACAAACCAAAAAACAAAACAAAACAAAACAAAACAAAAAGGAAACAAAAAGAGAAAGCCTGGCCTGGAGGTGGGGGTGGGGTGCACCCCGAAGACCAGCGACCAGACGCTCAAGTCCAGCAAGCATCCCATGACAGACTGCGGCTGCTTTTCTCCCCTTTCTGGGATTCCGCAAGGCACAGTTTATCAGGAGGGCCAGCCAAATGCCTAGAATTCTCTCCAAACACAAGGCTGCTTGCTTACACTGGATCGCTTGGAGATACAATAAAGCCTCCTCATAAATCTGCTACTGAGGCTCAATGTAGTAAGATCATTTCATACGGAGAAGTGTGGCATTAAATTACATGGGGAATGGTGCCACTGAATCTTTACACCTAAAACCACTTCAGACGGGTAAAACATGCCAACCTTAAGCCAAATGCAGCTCCATAAACAAACAGGCACCCTCTCGAGGCCACGGGATTACCGGGCCAATGGCAACCAGAATAAGGGACTGCAAACAAGCGGGGATTTCAGTTGCCAACAGTGGTACATTTGAAACATGCCAAGTGACCAAGCTGGCACGGGCACATAAAATGCCTCGAGGCTTTTGGGAAAGACACGCAGTTTCTTTCCTTCCAGAGCATTTTCAGAGGAAGATGTCCTGACCCCACTCAGAGGGTCATACCATGTCCACCAATACTCCTCCAACCCCTCCTATGCAAACTC